GGTCACTTTACAATCATTTGCCGTATAAGTTTTGTGGTCTGGAACACGCCAGTTCGGCTCCATTCGTGACTTCCAATTCAATACAAATTAAGGAAACTTATGTAGTTCTCAATTTTTCCTCGACCCACTTTGATAATCAGTTCCCATATGGAAATCGCTACATGTACCCTATCCCAGCTATCTTTACAGCTTAGGGTACCTCCCACGGGAGAGTCTAGTCCTTTCAAAAGACGCAACATTGTCGATGTACGACAAGGACAACTCAGACCTTGCTGTAAAGTTAAACTCTTTCAAAAAAATTGGCATTATTTGAGCAATATGAACACAAAAACTGAAAAAAATCGAAAAGATTGATTATTAAAAAAAAAAAAAAAACAGAAAGTGAGATGCAGGGAAAGCTTTCTTCTTCACAGGCCCACTCTGTAACTGTCGTAGTACGAAATACTATTGAAAATATACCGGGATCAAATATGCTCATTTCGGGAACACTACCACTACATCCTTACTTCGCGACGATAAAAAACCAGAAAGTAAAACCAAAGTACTGCAGTGTCCGTTGGAACGTGCTCCGAATTAAGCTGCTGATTATGTTAAATTGAGTAACAGGAGAGAAAAAAAGCCTTAAGACTGCTGATATTTGGGAGAGATCACAGGGAATAGCCGGTTCACGTAAGCTCCGCTTCAAGCTTCAATGTAACATTTGACTTCGATTTAGCGTGATTTTTAAAAGTCACTCGTAAGTATACTCACCCTCTACCAAAGAGCAACTCTTCAATTCGTACAGAAATCGGGGACAAGGATTCAACAATCACGAGAAGAGCTGTTGTCCATTGAAAGCGTTTAAAGCTCAAAAAAAAAACACTCCTTTTCAAATAATCCCCTTAAACAAACATAGCCGAATACGAAAACAACGTTGTTTACGCGATAAGGAAAAAAGATCAAAACAATGAACAATGTTCGACGCTTATCACTTCTATATTAGACGAGTTCTTATCAGAAATGGAAAAGAGTAAATAGACGTAGAAAAGGGTTAAGAGACCAAGACAAAGATCAAGTCTGTGCTTCAACAGCAGTTTGTTTCTTATTAAGCACGGAATAAGCATAATACACCGAACAGCATTTTTAGCTTTAATAAACCCCATTAGCTTAGGAGCTCTCAATCTGCCTTCAAGTCACTATTGTGTTTGTTTATTTACCTGCATTTATTTACATTCCTTTATCCGTGTGCAACCTTACTATTAGATTTCTCAGCCGCGTGATAGCAGTGATAACATGAAACGTCCGAGAGACAAGGCACAAATCCAACTAACTCTGACTATTAGAGGAACAATGAAAGGACATAGACAATCCAACTCAGTTTCCACTTTTCACCGTACTAGCTTCACATCGGAAAACAAGGTCAGCGACTTGATCGTACTGCTTGTATACTTCAGCATGAAAAACTGAGGAAGGAAACAGAAGCAATTCACTTCGAGCGCTTAAGTAATTGTACTGGCTCACGCAATTCATCGCACTTCAAATGTCCTGATAAATTAAAGAGAACCGAGTTCATGGCGTACTTTAGAAAATTGACTTGACGTTTGGCACATTCCACGTCGGTCATCATGAATCGACCACAACTTTCTTGTAAAAATAGCATGTGCGTATAGGAAATAGCAATTTACCGTAATGTATTACTATATGTTATCTACGTAAATGACACGATAAAAGATAATGATTATCGTGAACTTCGAACGAGCCAGGAAACGGTACAGTATAACAGCCTAATTCCACTGAAGAGAAAAGTACCGTTTAAAACAGAGCAGATAGCTAATTTTCCTAGGTGAACGTGACTTGCAAGAAACGAAACTCAATTCGAAACGGAAAAACAAGCCATCTAACAGCATTAGGGGTCCGAAACCGGACGACGACAGCGACAAGGCAGTGATAGCGTCGAAACCAGACGCGGCATCGTTGGAGAGATAGCCATGACTGGAAACATCGCACGCTCTCAATTCTCCAACTTTTTCTAGGAAGCCAATAACCAGCTGCCATCGTGGCACAGCTTTTCGTGATTCTGCCACTGGCAGCTGATCATATTTTTACAGCAGGAAAAAGTTGATGAACGAAAAGATCAAGGAAATATTATTCGATGGTGCCAGCCGATTACAGTGGTAGCTGTGCTGGTAAAAATAAGAGAGATCGTATTTACGCGATTCTTCGTATGGGAACGGTCCCTTCTTAGAATCATCATCATCAAAGTTCGGCTATTTTCCGAAAGTTGGCTAGTGTTCAAAGCTATTGCGTCGCATTCATGAAAATATGAACCCGTGGAAATCGATAGACTTTTATTGCCCTAAATAGTCATTTCATTTGTTCAAGACGAATGTTTACTTAAACTATAGCTGAATAGGCCGGCTTTCTAAACAACGGCTAAACAGCCCGATTCTCTGACGAGAACGTTTCTAATTTGAATGGAAGTCAAATGCGTGATCCATCAAAAAGAAGCTAAACAAAGAGAACCATTTTATTTTTAGTGGTCTGAACTTAATCAAAGAAGGAGCGAATTTCGAATAGGCGGCAAATAAGAATTAAAGATTATAGCAAAAAAAAAGATAAAAACACGAAAACAAAAAAATTGAAGAAAGAAAATGCGAAGCTGAAGGGATGGAGAGAAATTGAAAGACTGGTTAAGCAGTAGTCTCCTTCCACGGATTACAGTACTTTTCTTGACCTTGGTTCCAGATACCTTGCATGACGGTGTCAAAGACCAGCCTCACTTGTCTACTTCTCTCTTTCTTTCTCGACAAAATCAAGAATCAAGAACAGATGATCCATGCAGCCCCTTCGTGCAGAATAGACTTCGAAAAAAGCGGCCGAGGAATGCTGCCGTAATATATGCAAATCAAATTGCACCAGCAGATATGTCGAGAGATATTTCTATCGCCATTTACCTTGAGGAAACTGATTTACTTTATGTATGAGGTCACCCTTTCAAGCCATATAAAGACCATCTAGCGTACAAATAGAAAGGCGGGAGAACGATTGCTAAGTACAATAATAAAATTGGAAAAGAACAAGTCGTTCATCTTCATCATCGAAATTGGAAATATCGGGTAGCTTTGTTACATTTCAAGCCCGTCGAGGTATTGCCAGGGCAAGCAGCTAACCATATTGCGCAAACGAAGACTACAGGAAAGAAAACTAAGAACGATAAAACGGCATGCCGTAAAAACCTCATAGACTAAGTGGAAAAGACCAAAATACTATTCTTAGGACCCAAAGATTATTGAGGTCAATTTATGGAAAACTGCTGATCCAGCGGAAGTAGGCACCAGATAAAGAGTGGTCTGTCGGACGACAGCTTACGTCTTACATCTTAATAACTGATTAGAACAACGTTCGCCCCGCTTGCTTTCGATATTATGGTCACTGTAAATTCATGAAGAATAAGCCTAGAATAGAACAAAAGAAAATAAACAGAAAATTTTTTCAAGTATGCCTGACTAAATAAACGATAATCAACGGTATTTCTCTTTTTAGGTACTATTGAAGTAACTCGGGGCTTTCATATACAAAAGTGTGATTTCAAGAGGGCACTGCAGCAAACTTTCAGAAATGTACTGAACAGAGGATCTTTTCGAAATCAAGTATCAGCTGGTACGACGTCTGAAGGCGAATTGGATACCATGGCTGCACTTTACAAAACTTATAACTTGAGGAGCCTCATGAACGATCACATGCTGAACAGATGACGCTTGAAAATTTCAACACAATGAACAGATATCTTTAGCCTGCAGGATGGAAACGATGTATTAGTTTCAAAAACTCGGAAACCTAAAAGAAAAGTTGCTAGACAAGAGCTGCAAGGTCTTTATGTAATCCCACTTTCTTACAAGACTGGTAAGGCATGGAATTATGAAATCTCTACAAGAGATTATAAAAAGGTATTGAAGTTTATTGCCATCGGGAAGAGAGAAGAGAGAAGAAGTACCACCACCTGAAAGGTGCTCGTTACCCTCGAAGCCGAATCTTATTGTTAATCATATCTTGGGTCCATAGAAGCCTCTAAGAATTTGAACCCACAATGAATAGAAAACAAACGAATTATGAAGATAGGTTAAATCGGACCATAGCCGAGTAGCTTTTTTAGTAGCCTATGGTTAGCACACATGAAATTCTCAATCTACTCGATCAAATCAATGATTTTTTCGACTCTGAAGCAAATGAACCTGCGAAGGGTCAACGAACAGATTCACCCCCTTATCCACTTCATCTGACCACTTAAAACAACTATTAAGCAAAGGGCGATCATGGTCAATCAAGTCTACTTAACTTTGTAGGAACAAGAACTGGACAAGCCTCGTCCAGGATACAAACACAGTGTGACTTAATCACAGCAAACTGTATGCTGCAATGATTTTCCTTGATAATGTAAAAATATTATACTATGCTACTGGTTGGCTGGCAGACCCTTAACAAAAGAGCCATATGATTGATATGTCAGGTTCGTGCGACTGAGCCCGCATTATCGAGAAATCCAACGTGGATTGCATGAATGCGTATTAATTCTTGCGTACACTATGCAGAAAACTTATCGAAAATCCATAATAGAGAATGCGAAAAATGGGTTTCCCCTCAAATTTCCACGGAAAATGAGAATGAATTATCATGTATAAGGAAAAGTAAAATATTGCAAAATCAAATGCGAATACGTAGAAAAAAATGAGAAGTAAAAACCAGATTCCAAGTGAATTATAAGCAGAGGTGAAACCGAATAGTCATAGTACCACAAATCAAATTCTCACTTCTCATGTACAGAAAAGTTATAGAAGAATGCTGCAGTGAAAAATGGACGAGAATGAATGCAATGCAACAGTAACAGGTTCATTGTCAGAGGAGAAAGTGATGAATTACTCCTGATGTTGCCTTTGAAAGCCACCACTCATAGAGCAGAGCACGCTGCCATTCCAACAAATTTCAAAACCAAACGATATTGAGATCACTCACCGGTCTGTGTATAATGCATCCAATTAAGCATGATTTCTGGAGCTCGATACCACCTAGTCGCCACGTAGCCCGTCATTTCGTGATCAGCTGTTCGAGCAAGGCCAAAGTCGAGAATCTGAAATCCTTGGAGAAACTATTATACTATAACGAAGAAACAAAGAAAGGAAGCGGAAAACATCTTAAAAAACGTTTTCGCCCAAAAGCAGAAGTGATCTGCGCGCTAAATTATCATTCCGTTGATTTTGTAAAGCACAACGACTAGCAAGTTGCACTCTATTCGCTAGGCGAAATTGCAATGCCAATATGAACACAAGCGAAGACTACAAATTGCCAGGTCACCAAGTCAGTCGACAATCGCCAGGTGAACGGACTCCAAAAGGATGCGATCAATTCAGTCAAACCCCTGATTTAAAGCTTCACCGTCTGGTTCAGGGAGATATGGAAACAAAGCTTTATAAATGGAAACAATTTTTCATTGTCAACTCAACGTCACTTCAATTCATCATGCAGGAGTAGGCAAAAATCAATAAAATATCCAGGCTGCCAGATTCGCTTCCCGTCAAATAAGCTGAATCCTCAAATATAAAGAATAAAGAATGTAAAATACCTTAACTTCTCCGATCTCATTAACAGCGATATTTGACGGCTTCAAATCTCTGTGTACAATACCAGCCGAATGAATATACTGAAAATTTCGAAATGATCTCACCAATAAAAAAATTTTATCTATAATAGGATGAGTATGATGAATACCTTTAGACCTCTAAGGACTTGGTATATCAAAGCTTGGATCTGATCATTTGTCAGGCGTTGAATTTTTAAAATATTTTGAAGATCTGCGCCGATCAAGACGGACACAAAATACCTGAAAAGTTTGGATGGTCATTCTTTGAAATGTCTGGTTACAAGTGGCAGGTGAACATCAACTAACACATTATTCAACGATGCTACTTCAGTATCAGGTGTAAATACATCAATCATCTCTAACACATTGGAATGCTTGAGAGTGCGGAGTAGCTTGAGCTCTCTGAAAGTGAGAAACACCATATTTTCTGCATTACGCTCAAATACTCCGAAATTGTAAAAAAAAAAAAAACTTCAAAACCAACCTATATGTTCTTTTAGCATGAATTGTACTCTGGAAAGGACGGAAAAATTTCTTGACAGCTACTCTTTCACCAGTGCGTAAATCTTCGGCAGTGCTGAAATTTACGCTTTTTAAGAAGCGTTGCTGCGAAAATCAGCCCTATAAAATATTTTGAAGGCAAATGGCAAAAAAAAAGCAAAACCGACAAAGCCATTAGTATCGCAATATTGATGCGATGCGTACATGGCCCACTCCCTCCCCTCCAATCTTCAAACTTTGACAGATATGATCACTAGAAATCATTCCCATGAAAATCCGCGATGTGTATCGTAGAGGAACAGATTTTCAGAAGGGAAGACATGCTCACCACACAACTCCATAGGCACCTTCTCCCAGAGTGCGTAATCGATCGTAAGCCTTCGGAATAACCCATCTGGTCTTGTTAAGCTCTACCTTAATATAAAATTGAATTCAAACACAATCACTAAAATGCTACAGAGCACCCCAATTGAGCACGAAAACTGCCACTTTCCAATGGATAACTTTCTTGTACAAGCTTGCCTTGCTTACCTCATGGAATCCTTCAGGTGGAGGACGCTCTGGAGGTGGTGGTCCGAAATTGGCAAAGAAAACACCGGGCTCTGCCGAGGCCATCGGTCTGCGCCTTGGGCAATTCATGAAAACCAAGGGTGTCGAGCACCAATCGATCAATACGCATCAGAAAAACTGGGACACACCCTTACCAACAGCCAGAGTACATCCAATCTCGTCGTTCCCTTCATGAACTGTAAAAATAGATGCAAATGAGGTAGTTAAGATGCATTTTTTTCGGAACACTTTTGAAAATAAAGTCGAAATCACCTAGAAAGACTGCCTGAATGCTTCTTAAAAATGATTCTGGCAATGTGGCAGTGAAAGACAACCGTATGACATTTTCTAAGCAACATAAATGTGAAATAGGAAACAGAAAATAGAAACAGGTTTTGGGGAAGATTCTTCAAGAAAGAAAACAAGCGAGAATGAGCAGCTTTCCTGTCGTTCAGTTCATTCTTTTCGACGCCATTCCTCTGACAGTGATTTATTTAACCACGTATAGCATTTAAATAAATCACTCGCGGCATTTTCACCCCAAAATATTGGCTTGTCGCCTTCCATTTCGTATTCATAGCAACCATACTAACNACACGCCTCTAGACCTGCTACAAATCCCATCGAATCCTCCAATAGCAACTTTTATACGACGCACTTTCTGAATCGGATGTGAAGGAACAATCGCTTTACCTCACTAGTATTTACACTTGCTAAGAAGCACCGACTAAACATGGTGGCTCGAACTTTCGCAGAATTACGGGTGGCCATTCCTTTGCAGCCTATCACCTATTCCACCAAAATTAACGCTGGGCGCCAGATGGTGTACTCTAACCTAGACGCAAGACTTACAAGAAATCCATTCTAATATATTTAGGTCAGCAACCTGAGCAGCGAAATCATCAAAACCATGTGATCTACAGATTTATACAAATCTAATAGTATTGCAATAAAACCTACTGAAACATCGAAGTGAGCAAATTGCCTGAAATTAATCGTACATGACTAAAAGTCTATTGAATCGTATCACCATTCAAGAAAGTCATACCGTAAGTTTTTAACGTGCACCACGTGAATTCACATATCAACAAATAAATATCACCAAATAAATCCTAGTATATTGGAAATGTCAACAATAACATGTCAAACAGAACATTCATGAATAAAACAGTGCTGAAGAATACGGAGTTTTTATGGAAGGAAGGAAACATCACATGGACGTGATGAGGAGACATTTCTCATTCACAATAAAGCANTAACGTGCACCACGTGAATTCACATATCAACAAATAAATATCACCAAATAAATCCTAGTATATTGAAAATGTCAACAATAACATGTCAAAATTCATGAATAAAACAGTGCTGAAGAATGTAGTTTTTATGGAAGGAAGGAAACATCACATAGACGTGATGAGGAGACATTTCTCATTCACAATAAAGCAAGCTCAAAAGTGAAAATGTGTGACAGTGAAAAGTTAAACAGACCAGATCCAAATCAATATTCTCTATATGAGGGAATTTCTGGTGAACACTCGTCAAAAACGAAGTTCTGAATTTCCTGCCAGATTATGCCTGGAATAATGACGATTTGGTGATTTGGGACAAATTTATAGGATAACAGATTATCTGTAGTACAAACTCCGCAGAAGTACTGGATCTCCCCTCTAAAACACACTCATACTTACAAGCTCTAGTAGATGCGGAGATTCAAATTTTATTGAACCCTGGGTGTTTCTGAGGAGTGTCCGATAGAACCCAATCCCACTTTTCAGTTTTAGAAGTCGCATGATTGCAAAGTCAAGCCAGGTAAAAAAATTAGATGTGCTTCGACTTTGAGCAGATGAACAACATGCAAACCCTTTCCCAGGTAAACAATTTAAAATGAGCGCATACCCTTCAAAGCACTACAAAATTGCGTAGTTTCAGACTAGATCAAAAACAGCTGAGCACAAGCAATCAAAACAATGAAGGCCACAAATTTATCTGCAATCCCACATTACTTCCCCAATTAGAACAAAATGGGTCAACCTCGAGAAATTTCCAAAAAAAGACACCTCCCTACTGATTCACCTCAAAAAAAAAAAAAAAAANAAAAAAAAAAAAAAAAAAACTCAAAAGCCCCTACCTTTCCATTCGTCTCGCGTCCTACTTGGGTTATCATCCAGCTCAAATGAAGATGTGGCAACGGGTTCGTCCGTAGCGTCCACATAATCAGCAAAATAAGGATGTGCCAAAGCCTGTTCAACCGTAAGCCTAGAACAAAACGACTATAACCTACTTCTAAGAAGAAGAAGGACACAAAACGATACATACCTTTTCTCGGGGTCTAGTACAAGAATTTTGTCTAAAAAGTCTACGAACAGACGAGGGCAGCCTATGAAGCGTTTAGCGAAGTCTTGACGTTCATGATGGCGATAAGATTCGACAACACGGCGAGTAGCAGGGCTATTCGCTTCTATCTGGAAGGAAACGATAAAATCTGCAGGTTTTCAGCAGAATAAATGTTCATTAAAAGGTCCACTACGGCCGAGACGTTCGCCATGCCATTAAGATGCAGGTTAGGAGCACATAATCGATCACCATCCAGATGGAACAGGATGGAAGGCAGAATTATGAACAGAACCAAACAGCAGCAAGCCTTACCTTTCTCATGAGCTCCTCGTCAGGACTACCACATAATTCTGTTATCATTTCGTATTGGGCATTCGCTGAAGTAATAATGTTGAGCAAACAAATCTTTTTCGTCTCAATTCATGCTTCAAAGTTTTATGAAAAATGGAAAAAAAGATTTTGCTAAACTCACTATCCTCCCCAGGGAATAGCGGCTTTCCTAGCATCAACTCAGCCGTTATGCAGCCAACAGACCACACATCAACTGAAAAGTGCTCGTAAACAGTACTGACTAGCACGGCTGCATACACCTTTCGCTTTATATGAGGGTTGTATATCAGATCGCGAGATTCAAGTACAAAGACTACATGACGAGCTGTTCTGCTTTAAATCTAAGCCTGCAGTTTTTTCGAGGCATTGAGAGGAAGATGAACAAATTAGAGAAAATAAAACTCGGAACACATGTAAGGAGCAGGTAAGGATCCAGAACACTCTAAGTAATTCCGAATTTCAAAAAGTTGTTTTCCCGGTTTAGATTCAGTACGACATGGAGGTTGAAAGGAAGTTAGGATTAGTGCCATTTCCTAACATAATTTCATAGATCACGCTCTGAGGTCATATGGTTCAATTCAGTCTTGCCCATACAGCACTGCAATGGTTCAAAAATAAGCCAAAAATGTGATAATAAATGTCGGGTGGTAGGACCGTAAAAAAAACTCTACATTGCTTTACCTCTACTAAGGCTAGAAGTAGCCCTATCGATAAGTTGAACTAAAGGATTGGTTAAGAAATGGAGAGGAATTTTGAGTAGGTGTCTGAATGAATAAATAAATTTAATTACGGCCGCACCATCAGAACACGAATATCTCTTCAATGAACTTAACCGGGAATATCTCTTAAATGAATTTAACAAGAAAAATCTCTGCTCGTATTCGAAAAATTTAGACAGAATTACTAGGAAACAAAAGGGCAAACATCGAATTGAATCAAACCAAAAAGTAGAATCTAGGAAAAATAATACCTTGCTCATTATAGCCGTCGATATTCCAATAAATTACTTCCGGGCTGCGATACCACCTCGTCATAACATATTGTGTTAGTGAAGTATCAGTGCGTTCCAATGAACGTGCCATGCCAAAATCCAGTACGGTGAGGTCACTATCACATGTCAAGGCCAGATTGCCTGGTTTTAGGTCCCTATGAATTATCTGAAAAAAGACAAGATTCGATAAAGTCAAGATTACCTACAATTTTGAGGAGAAGACTTACATTTGCAGAATGTATATATTTCAAAACTCTCAGAAGTTGGTAGATTATGAACGGAACGTGCTCAGGAGTAATATGAACTCTGCCGGTTACTTTNTGATCATGTAATATTTTCACAATGCTATCACCAGCGTATTGTGTGACGACATATCTGGAACAAGCAAGCTGGGATATCTGGATGAGAACAAGGAGAATTACAGCCATTCAATCCATGCTCATGACTTGAACTCATGCAAAGAATTGCACACCTTCGAATGTGAATGAATGACTGAATAAATGAATTATCATGCTGCTTAGCCGTTGAAGCCCTCTATGATGCAAAATGAAGAAACACCTTCGAATCGAAAAAACCGACAACTTACAACTCCTTGAATTCGTGCTCCACGTTGTTAGGCGTGTAAAGATCAATAGCTCGGATTACACCATCATGTCGCATGATTTGTAAAAGTTTAATCTCACGGTAAATCATTCGCGCCTGTAAGAGATACTATTGCAAGCCACACTGTTGGGAAACGGACAGGAACCTGTCCATAAAAAGCGTGGAGTCGAGACCGAACTAGTCACAAATTGGCAGAAAGCTAGTACAAGGCAATTCGGAATAAGTTTGACATCGTGATCAAAACCAACCTGAGTATTATCCGAAAACGGATCCCTAAACTTCTTCACTGCGACTTCGCGAATAGCTCCATCACGACATTTGACAGTTGTTTTGCTATAAAAGTGCTAAATCTTTCTGCAGAAAGTCTTGTCACGCACCAATATTGATGGCAACTCATAGATTTGTAATGAAAACCAACGATCAATAACAAGCAACACTAATAGCCACAATAATAATTATTATTATTTCCGGTTACTTACATCACATTCCCATAAGCTCCAGAGCCAAGGAATTGGATATCTTCACGGGCAGTCGAATAACCTTCCGGAAGTGCAAAGTTTACTGTATTCACAGGTACATGGTTGAACCTCCGTTGAATAGGGAAGTAATCAACCGGGATAGTAGTCCCAGTTGACGCCGACTGTTGATCCATCGTCTGCGGTTCCAGACTTGGGCTTGCCATCTCCATATCTGCTCTAGCTACCGGTGTCGGTTCTTCCGAACCATTCAGAACATCGTCGTTGTCTTCAGGAGAATCGTCTTCATAGGGAGACGCACTTCCGCCCTGAATCGGTATAGTAATTTCCGAAAAGCTCCTTTCGAAAGTGAAACAATTAATCCAAAAGGATCCCAAAGAATGAATAATTCAAATATTATATTTTATGATCAATACGAACTCGGCAGCGGATAGTGACAATGTATTACTATGTATCGTTATCCTTATCGCCTCTGGATTCCATAGACAATTATTTCAGCACCTTCGAATGATTCCAGAGGCTTTGATCAGCCAAGGCTCTCCATTTAAGAAGTTAGAACGGGTTTCTGTGTATAGATATGCAAAGTAGGCGGTACATTTTTGCCAGGGGCTTTCATTCTACTACAGTGCGTTTCATAATTATAAGGTCATCCTCGATTTTTGCGATTCTGGAGATAGCAGCCAGAATGAAAGTTTTTGGCTAACACTGACAGATTCCTCATCACAATGAACCTCCGTACTCAAATTTTGGTCGCAACTCCACCTCAACTTTTTCTTTATGAATTCTTTAAAGGTGTGTCTGTTCTACACCGATTTATAATTATAAGGTCACCCTGAGAAAGTGAATGATTTATTAATGTTGATGGCATATGTACAACAGTTAATAATTTATAGCTCCTCCATGTTCAAGAGCAACATTAAAGAGCCTGCGTAGCGCACTAGAAACTAGGTTTCTCACACCATAAGACTTGCTCAAACATTTATGTCGCACAAACCTCGCCCTCCCCCCCCCCCCCCCCCCCCCCCCCCTCCTGACGCGGGCTGGACCTGCCGCCCACCATGGGGGTTCCGATCCCGCCTCCTCTATTCCTACAAAATTCGAACTCTCTAGGTTTACGAAAACAGGAGTTATGATTTTTCGGTCAAACACACACACCTACACACAGACAAAGCAAGAAACACACTTAGCGCTTATGTATAGAGGGAAGTTTGTATTTTTGAGCAGATAGAAACTACAGTGTGCTGATTGTAATGCAGTAACAACAATGAATGGTACAACAGTGGTAGGCCAGGTAATTGGCCAGGGGGAGGCAAGAAAAACGGCATCAAATCACCATCATTAAATTTCTGTTCTTATAAATTAACAAGCAGCTTGGAAGTTACCACTCCAGCCTGATTGCTATCTAAGGGGACTAAATTCAACTCATCGGCACGTACAAAATAAACCAAGTAATAGAAGGCTTGACTAATTACCGTTCTTTCGTTTCGTGCGCAGCCCTCCACCATATCCTCTATAAAGAGCTCCGGATACACAATAGGTGCAAACTTCACTACGATAGGAGACGACTTGTAATCATCGATAGGAGCTGAATTTGAACATTAAATGAAAATATCAACAAAAGCCTTTTCTTTCCCTTACAAAATTTCTTCACTAGAGCTTAAAGTGGTCAAAAGATTTTACGTTCTTCGATAGAACAGCGTCCATAAAAGACCAGATAAACTAGGCAGTGCAACTAAAATGCAAAAAAAAAAAGCGATTTCAGTTTAGTTCAAGGTAGCTGGAACTGCAGACCACTATGAAGTTATATGAATAATGCAAAAAGCCAACACCACTGCAGACATGCAACAGCCAGTTGAAGCTTCAAGCTTGTTTAGGACAAAAATAAGTGTTTTTGAAAACACGTGGCGGTGCACAAGAATCCATACAACTCCGGCGAACAACAACAGCACCAAGGTGCTGGGTGCGATGAGTCATCACCTCACAAAAAGAACTCTGGCCACGACTGGGAAGGAGTGAGGCATCCGCAAACTGACGTGAAAAGTTATGCTATTTTGGTTGTTATATTTGGAACCTTTGAAACTGACATAAAAGTTCCTCGTTTCTGCAACGTTGAGACTTGATTAATGATGCGAACGCCATTTGTTTACCCACCACCACTCCGAGTTTCACATTCCATACATTTTTTTTCTTTGAAGTACCGAGTTATTAAACAGTTGAGCCCTCAAGTCGAGAGTGGGAGTACGAAATTAGTATTAAAGGGCTCACGATTGCTAATGGGCACGTGAAAGCACCTACTTCTGTGCACAAGCTAGAACTTCTNCTATTTTGGTTGTTATGTGTGGAACCTTTGAAACTGACATAAAAGTTCCTCGTTTCTGCAACGTTAAGACTTGATCAATGATGCGAACGCCATTTGTTTACCCACCACCTCTCCGAGTTTCACATTCCATACACTTTTTTTCTTTGAAGCACCGAGTTATTAAACAGTTGAGCCCTCAAGTCGAGAGTGGGAGTACGAAATTAGAATTATAGGGCTCACGATAGCTAATGGGCACGTGAAAGCACCTACTTCTGTGCACAAGCTAGAACTTCTTATTTTTTTATAAGCTTCACGTGAAACCTGTGTAAATCAATAAATTTCAAGCTCACTTCGACAGCTTAAATTTCCTCAGAAGACTAAACTGGCAATGTTGGTTCCCATAGCCAACCAGCACTGCGCAAGAGCTTATCTAAGTCTCCGATCAAAAAACCTCACTCAAGCACGTGAAATCCTTCTCTGCTTGAAGTCATGAAAAATGTTTTCGAACATAGCCGGCCATTGTAATAAATAAAAGCACATCACAGTTTCCCACCGTCACCGAACACTTACTAATCCTGCGCTAAACATAATACCACGAATCGCAAATTAGCCAAAAATTTACGGCATATTTTGCAGATAACTGCAATCCTGCAACCCTTGCGTATATTACTGTTACTTGTACCTCTGACAATCTCCACATTTCTACATCGTTGCGCTCGTCAACTGCTATAATTCGATTATGTTTAAAATAAAATTAATGCCTCTGGAAGGAATTCATACACTGTGCAGAATGGAGAGAGCATCGATAAAGAAAGTAGATGTCGACGAAAAGGGGGAGCAACGGCAAGGGTGCAAGCGAGCCAAGTGTAAGTGAGTATATAAGTAGAAAGATCAAAGTTTAAGTGAAATTTTTATGAATTTTCCGCTATTTCTGTTAATAATCAGAAATTCGCACTGAATCATTCTAAATCGCAAAGAAGAGGGAGTACACTTATTTTCCGTCTGGCATGAGCAGAATTTCATAGTCTTCGGGAAGCGCTAATCCAAAAATTTGTAGAACCTTTTGCAACCTTTCATTACACGTTCCAATCACAAACGAACTTCCACCTTTCCTTCACAATTCATGCCACCAAAAAAAGTGAAACAAATCACACAGGGATCGCGCCAAAAGGAAGGGGACTCATGGGTAGACTTTGGAACAGGTCCGCTCTCATATGGTAGTTTTCATAATGAAAAAAAAGAAGAATAACAATGTTGTACTATTTCTTTTACTAATTTCGTGAATATTGAATGTATACATCTGTAAACACCGAATGAGACGCTTCCTTTAAATTTGGAAATACAAAAGCGCGGTGGTGCAGAGGACGAATTGATTGCAATTACTGTTCATGACAAAAACTCAGCGCAAGGTTGAGTGACGCAGAGGGGTTGATGTGTTAGACGTAACGCAGAAAATTCAGCGACTAATGTTTGCAGCAGCTCATATGTTGTAACGTTGACGGAAGCATTTAATTCTACAGAAGCGCCCTGGGCCCGGTAAACGCGATGCGCTAGGCGCTACTTCCAAGTTACCGCATTGAGGTGAATGTTATATTCACGTGATGGACAAACTCGCCGACAAACTACACAAATCATGAGGTATCTTAAATACAACACAATGGGACCTATATTTTACAACACGTTTGTAGCAAACCGTACCCACCACAATTCCTTACATTAGGAAGTACTGCCAACGTGAGGAAAAAAATGTGTAGAAACATAGAAAACCCAAACGAACCAAACTTGTGCTTTCGGGAGCTGCGGAAACAGTTGAGCGAGTTACCCATAAACGTATAGAGACATAAGCATCAGCACAGCAACAACACAACCACAACCACGACGCGACCACTTCACCGTATACGAACTAACTGTAAAAATGTGAAAAGCCGTGTAAGGTAGAACACTCATGTTGATAAATAGAAGCAAATATAGTATCATGGAGAAGATAACGTACAAAACCCTATTAAAACACAAGTGGGAACAACTGAGCCAGACCACAAACTTTCGCGAAAACTATTAGTAGACCAAAAAGGAGAAGAAGGAAAAGCGCAAATATAGGACATGCTAGACACCAGTCTTATAAAGGGTCAATAAACGTTGTGCCATTATTGGAAATGAAGGTAAACCCTAGAGTTTTAAAGGACCCAGGCAACAATACATTGAGAAAATCAATCCGATGACATCTCATGACATGAAGCGGAAAAACCAAATTCTTTCCAAATCAGAAATCATTCATAGCATGAAAAAAGTATGTCTAGCACACTAGGCCAGCGTTCGAATGTACGCTATCGACCCTGTTTCTGTATTTTTTATGCGCACCATACCGACGACGCATAGAAAAAACAGTCATTTCAATAGAACATTGCGGAGAAAAAAAAAGGAATCGAAAGCTCCGGAAAGGCCGATAGCTTCATTCAAACTGGGGCAAAATGGTGATGAAACAAAAACGACAATGAAAAAACAGGTGACACTTAACAAAGTGATAATTTAGAAGAATCCTTAGCGAATGAACAGTCAAGTCTAACTTGCCCAACTGAATTCTGCTGCCTTACTTGAGCAACCATTTACAGCCCGTATTCTTTTTATGGTTGCTACAGACTGCTGAGCAAACATTAACAGCAGAAGGAGCAACACAAAGGGGTACTCACGATGATACAGTTTGACTGGATTTTGTCTATTCATCATACAAGCCTTGAAATCAGCTAGAGCGTTACAGCGTAGAATTAGAGGAAAGGAAAGCTCAGGACTGAAAACTATACCTTGCCACATCGACAGTTTACCCCAGGTACTGATTAAACATCACAAAGGTCGGCATACTAATGACTGCCTCATGACAACAGTATTTCGAAAAACGTAGACGCGTTTTTCACAAAGTCAATATCGACGCTGCTTGAGTGGAAACTCGACGACCGTATCATGCCGAATGCGCATGTGAAAATTTCTCTGTATGAGCATTGGTACACAATCTTGGGAAACTTGCCTCTATAGATGCATTCACTTTTTGTTTGCACATTCTTTTTCTTCTCATTCTCTTTCACTCTTATGCATTTTTCTTGCACCATGAGCATCTAAGCAGCCAAACAAAAGCTCAAGCTAGACATCTGAATTCAGCACAAAAAATTCTTCCTCATGCGAATGATAGCAACAGAAAAGCTGTTCCATCGTGCAACGCAAGCATACAGAAGAAAAACCATAGTAAGAAGGTAAGCTAGTCGATATAATTCTGTGAATACATTAGAAACTCACCGGACCAAACGAAGGCAGACTGAATCAGTTCGGGGAAACAGCTTCACCTAAATTTCTATAAAAAGGGATGAGAGTATGAGGGACCAGGTCAGAAACTATTTGAACAGGTATCTCACCGCCATCAGACTCATACCATATCAAAAACTCGAAGACATAAATAATTTTATTGCAGATTTCAAAATTTAAAACAGTTGGACTGAGCGATTCCTATAAACAATGAATGAGCAAGAAGATTATGTATAATGCAGATCAATAACAGATTTTCAGAATAGCTAAGGTACAATCCACAAAGAAAAGTCCATCAAAACAATAGTGCGAGTAAAGCATTACAAGGCACTGTGTAAGGATGCACCATAGAACCAACATACTGTGAGCAAATAGAAGTTGAGCACAAATAGCAAACAGAGCATTACGCTTGGCTATTCTCTCTATAACGCGATCGAATAGAACTACGTGTAGAGGAACTTCTGTGCAGAGGGCCAGCACTTTTCGATCGTTTATGACTTCCACTTTCCATTGATGGCTTGCGACTTATTGATGAGCCAGTTCTTCTGCGATCCCCAGCAGGTCTTTCAACACCGTAATGGTACCTTAAGAGGTGTTTAAGAAGATTTATGACTGCTGGTCTGCCCGATGAAACCAGAACTTATGATATGATCCTACCGTGCTACGCTTGTTGCTCGTAGGGTGTTGTAGGGACTAGCAACAAAAATACTGCTAGGAGATTTCCGATGCAAAGACAATGTTGAACAGCCAGGAATCCTGCAAATATATCCAATCGTCTCTCTTGTCTCTGCTGGCTGAGTTTGAAGAAATCACTAAACCACAGCCAACCAAATTGAAGAAAGAAAATTTGAATATTATATTAAGGGCTTACGATGAGCAAACAATGGACTGTAAGGCTCCTACCTAGGACCAAGAGAATGATCAAGCCTATATACACAGGAAAAGTTACGAGAGATCTCATAAGAGCTTTCGCGTATGATTCTGGTCTACATATTAAACTCTTGGAGTTCTCCAGTACAATGACTCAAGAGTAGCTGGGCCATGTAACCAATTAAAGTCTCAAACTTCTTAACATGCCCTAACTCATCATTCAAAGCCCTTCTCGAATTACCAATAAGCATGTTTCGTCAGCTTAATTCATGAAAGAACAATTGACTGAGATTAAATTCAACAAAGAAATAAGGGAAAAACGTGACCCCAATTCGAAGGGATTCATTTGCTCACACCATGAGCGGAGATTCTGAGAAGCCAGGGCAATAGCCCTCACCTTTTGTTTCACCTTCCGTTCGAACAAAAGATAAATTAAATAAAAAATTGACATTAAGAAAACTTTAAAGATCTATGGCTCACACTGGTGGGTATAACTTCATTTCGTCATGTGGACGGACAATGGATGAGTGAGCATACTTATTCTCCAAAACAGGGTAAGCTGGAGGAGGAAGCGGTTGATAAGGGTGCTTCTCAAAAACTGGCGGTGTAACCTGAAGCAAAGCTAATTAGTTAAACAAACATAAAACGAATATAGTCGAAACCGAGTCTGTATGCTTCAAAACGTTTTTCATGTTTTAGAGCGGAAAGAATAATGAATACACTGGAATTAGAAAGTCACCCAAATTGTCAAGGTCATCCCTATTCAAAGGGTTTCTGAATGCATAACAACTTTCCAGAAATTGAAGATGTCAAAAAACATTGTTCAAAACGAAATACTGACGGAAAGTATCGCATACCTGCTGAGTTGTGGTTATTTTGGTGACCCTAGATGGCTCATCGTGGCGCTTGGTGTGATGGAGGTACATTTTGAAAAACTAAAACAAGAAGTGTAGTGTAGAAGAACGAGAAATATGATGTAAATACAAAAGAGTGGTGAACCTTACGAGCTTTGACCTACATTAGATGTTATTATAGAGTAAAGAACAGCTCCTAGTAAGAGGATAGATCCAACGACAAAAAGCACCGGCCCAACTACTTGGATGGGCGGCGGGCGTTTCCTCCTGTCTCCTGCCCAGGTCCAGAACGGCGTGTCGTGCATTACAAAAAAGCCCATATATACCTGGAAATTTTTCTACAAAATTTATATGGTAGAAATTGAAGAATAAATTTGACAACACACCATAAGAGCTCCTCCTAGAATCAAAAACACTCCGAAAGCACATATGCATACGACTGATGACGAGCCTCGGAATTTCCTAAAGAACAGCATGTAGGGATAGTCATGGGCTATGTATTCGTATGGACATTTGGACGTGAGAGAACGAGAGACTTGAAAAGCTTGAGTGCACTACTGCAAAAGGAAAGGATGGATGGGTAGCTGATGGATGTTACCCAATGATCCATCACTAGTGGTAAAGTGTTTCTTCGAGAATTTTCAATCTCATGGAAAATATTTTCAAGGCAAAGGGCAGTGTACACAACGGAAGTTACGGCTATCTTATACATTGGTGTCAAGTTCACCTTCACTAACATCTAACAAATGGCTTTTTGAAATTGTACTTCACTTTGAAATAACCAGTCGAAGAAGAAATCTAAATCAGACGCTATATCGAAGACAACCAGATCTTTATAGAAAGCTCCAATCAATAGTTAATGAGCAGTTAAGAGGCCTCGCCGATGACCGTCGACAAAAAATTTGAAAAGGCACGACAGAAACAAAAGAAAGGGAACGCTAAGAAAAAAAGCAGGAAAAAGATGCGAGAACTACTCACGTAGTACGATAGGGAAAGAATCCAAAATGAGCAGGATAAAGCACATCCCAGCCTTTTGGATAATAGTAAAAGTACGGATCCCTTTGAGCCATAGGGCCAAAGTGTAAAACACGTTGATTACCTGAAGACCACTTATTGAACATCATTTCAATTCATCAGCGAAACTACTCACCTGTCCATTGAGCTGGGTCCACCTCGTTGGCCGTTTGTATCATCTCGTCTTTCTTATGTGTTACTTGATGAAGTTTGTCTGAAATATTGATGGTTCAACTAAAAATTGACATCCTGATAAACATGCATTTAGATGAAGCCAGAGTTCACATAAATGGTTCCTTTGGGAGAGAAAATTTTGAAACCCTATTCTTTCAAAAAAGGCATATCAAAATAGGCCACGAAAATTTCAATTCAAAGCTTTTCAAAGCAAAATATTCAACAAGCGCAACACCATAACTCATCAAAGAGTTTGGAGACCAGAATAAACACTAGCTAAAAGTAAAGCCTTTTTAATTAAGTCAATAGTATTCCCTTTTTAGGTGAATGAAGATTGGAACTTTTTCGGTAAGACTAGGGATACGAAAAAAAGGAAACCGAAAAAAGTTCAAACGCTAAAGACAAAATCATATCTCGCTTTCATATTCTGAGAAAAACCATTCTCGCGTCAATATCATGAATCCGATACGAAAGCTAGCACTTTGCAAACTACACTTTACACTACTGATGTCATGAGGGTTGAGAACGAAACACTAAAAGAGCAACAGATATTTCCATAGCAATGAGTAAAAGCTGGCCCACGTTCATGAAGAAAGAGTAAGAGCTTCGCACAAGTGGGGAGCTCATGTGAAATTACACTATCCATTAGCCTTTACAGACAGCGCTCTGGGACTAATTTCCAGCTGCATGACAAGGCTTGCATTCGAGGAAAATTGATTACAAGGCCTGAGAAATGCTTGTTATGCTTACTTGTAGCAGCACATGTGTAGATGTACTTTTTTATAATGGTGTACACGTACATATGATAGAGAAGAAAAACGCCAATGAAGTACACCTACTTTGTGTTCTTCGCTTCCGTTTTTGATGTTGCCGTTCTGTCTGCTTCGAAAATAAGAGGTGAGTTCGAACCCGCTCTTGCTGGCCATCGGCCGCGCGCCCTCTCTTACCGCCCATCTGCAATTTTCATCTTAGACGAACAAAAGGTTTAGATGGTTCTTGATTTTTTCAGCTAGCCATCAGCGCATACTCGAACTCTTGGTGTTATTGTCTAACCCTTCATGTATCATCACCTAGTCCTTACCAGTTATGATGACTTTAGTTCCACCGCTTTACCCAGCTTAATCTATGAGGGACG